CTCTAATCCAGAATGACCTCATCTGAACTCATTGTATGACCAAAGACTTTTTCTAAGTAAGGTCACATTCTGAGCTTTATGGTGGGGGAGGCGGCAGGATTTTTTGAGCGACAGTTTGTTGTTTGATAAAAGGAAGTATTTAGTCATTGTTTGTGGTTAGAGGCACAGAACTAAAACCCTTGAAATTTTCTCTGCCTATGAGGTAGCTTCTGGATGAGGGCTGGTTGTTAGAAAACCCAGCCCTGTGTTTAAAGGGCTAGACTCCTCAGCCCCAGCCCCTAACCTCCTGGGGTGGGGGTGGGGTGGGGATAGTGGGCTTAACACCCATCTTTAGTCAGTGATTTAATCAGTCACGCCTTTGTAATGAGATTGCCATAAAACCACCTAAACTTTGGGGTTTGGGGGACTTCCAGTTGGTGGACACATCCACCAACTAGACACTCTGAGAGAGCGGTGCACCTCACCAAGAACTCCCTCATTCACCTTTTATAACATTAAAACAGTTTGACTTGCTCCAACAGCATATTGGGCACACCAGACCAACAAATGATGTGTCCCCCTCTCCTAGATTATATAAAAGGAGGGGATGTGGCAGGGCCATACTCATCAGACTACCTGATGAAAGTGTCCTGAGGTCCATAAGTCAGGTGCTCTGGCTCTCTGTACTGGAGTTCAACTTAGTCCCACCTTCCTGCTAGACCCACCTCACTTGAACTGCCTGCCTCAGGCTTTGAAGCAGCTGTGCCTGGTCTGTGATCTTACCCCACCAGCTGCAGTGACTTCCACATCTCTGGCTTGGCTTTCAGCACTTCCTCTTTGAATCCTGCAGCCCGATGACCCTTTTTTGGCCATTCTGTAACCTATGATTGTGTGAAGTGTAAAAGGTCACTTGAGTGTCACAAATACTGGTAATTAAAGATTGGAATAAAAGTCTGATTGCCACACTCACTGGCTACTGCAGGAACCTTGAGGACTTGGCCTGATAAGACTGAGGAAATTGATGTAGCTTGTGAATTGTTATAAATTCTGGCTGATTGTGGTGGCACACACACCTGTAATTCCAGTGTTCTGGGAGGATGAAGCAGGAGCACTGCAATTTAACAATTTAGCCGGACTCTATCAAAATAAAAAAGGATTAGGGATGTAGCTTAGTTTGAAGGCCCCAGATTGAATCTCCAGAATCAGAACAAAACAGTTCTGACATTGGAAAGACACAAATGTGTCCAGTCTGTTGCTGGTATAGCTAACTCATGACAGTAGAGATACTACTGAATTTTGTATGTTGATCTTACATTTTATAACTTCGCAAACTCAGTCTTCTTTTTGTTTTCATAGATTCTGATTTTTTACAAGGCCAGTCATGTTTCCTGTGAATAAAAAATTTTTCTTCTTACTTTTCAATCTGAATTCTTTGTATTTTTCTTGTCCGGTTGCTTTAGGAAGAATTCCCAGTAGGATACTAAATACAGACGGTGGGAGTGGCCATATCTGTCTTATTCCTGATCCTAAAAAAGCATTTGGGTTCTCCTTTGTGATGTTTGCTTTAGGTTTTTTGTTTGTTTTAATAAATGCCCTTAACTCAGTTTGATGAAAGTTCCTGCTTGTTTTAGTTTGATGAGAGTTTTTATAAGACATAGAAGTTGGATGTTAGCTAATGCCTTTATGCTTCTATTATGATGTATATTTGGTTTTTCAGTTTTCGTTTGTGAATGTGATATATTACATTGCTTTAAAAAAATTTTTTTTAGTTTTCATTTTTTTGAGTATTGGGAATTGAACTCAGGACCTTGCACTTGCCAGGCAGGCATGGTACTGCTGAACTACCTTCCTGGCCTGGATTGGTTTTTTTTTAGATTGATTCTTGAATGTTAAGTCACCTCTCATTGCTGGGATAAACCCCATGTAGTGATGTAAATTATCCTTTTAATACATTCTTGATGTCTATTTGCTAGTTTGTTTTGGGTAATAGGATGCTACATTTTAAAAAAACTTTTACATTTATGTTTACGGAGGATAGTAGTCTGTAAATTTTTTTCCTTTATAATGTCTTTATTTAGGTTTAAGCTGGCCTCAAAGAATATAGTTTGGAAGTATTTTTCTAGCCAGCTTCTTTGTACCTGCTGTCATTATTTTCTTTCTTCTGCTAGTTTTTGGTATATTTTGCTCTGCTTTTTATAGTTCCTCAAGGGGCAAAGTAGGTGATTGAGATCTTTCTTCTTTGTTAATGTAGGTGTTTTTTGCCATAAATTTCTCTCTGAGTACTGATTTCCCTGGATCTATAAATTTTGGTATCTTGTGCTTTCATGGTCTTTCATTTCAAACACATTTTATTTCCATAGTAATTACTTTGCTTTGTTGGTTGATTTTGTGTATGTTAGTTTTCATATATATAGGTGAATTTTATGTTATTTCCTGCAAGATAGTTTTGCCGGACTTAAGATTCTTCTTTGAGCTCTATCACTATGTTATCCTACTACCCTGGCTGACATTGTTTCAGATGAGAATCAACTGTTACTACAGTTGCCCTGTAAGTGATGAGTCATTTTTCTCTTTTTGCTTTCAAATTTTATCCTTGCTTTTGAAACTTTTTCTTTTTTAGTGTTATTGGGAATTGAACCCAGGGCCTGCACACTGAGCTATATCCCTGTCCCTTTTTATTGCTATTACCCTTTGAGACAGGTTAAGTTGCCTGGGCAGGATGAGAACTTGTGATCCTCCAGCCTCATCTTCCCTCAGAGCTGAGATTACAGATGTGCATCATTGTACCCAGCTGCCTTTGGAACATTTTGACTGTTGTGAGTGAAATATTCTCTTTTGAGTTTATAGAAGCTTTCTGGATGTATAGTCTTGTGAGTGTGTGAAGGCATAACATAGACTGACATGCTTGTGTCTTTCTGCAGTATCAGAATTTATTGAATGTTAGTAGAGTCATAAGCTCCATTAGCTTTTATTTCATAAAGTACTCCTCATTTCACTTGGAGTTGTGACCGTGACAATTGTAAGTTGTGTTCATTAACTACTAATATCTAATACCTATGAGTCACATTATGCTTCATTATACTAAGTTATAGAAAGTTGGGAAAGAGAAAAGACCATAGGAGTTGAAGACTCAGTGCAGGGCTGGCGATGTAGCTCAGTGATAGAGAGCCTGCTTAGCATTTATGAAGATATAGGATCACTCCTCAGCACCACAAAAACAAACACAAAACATTCGGTGCGGTGAGGCAGTCCAAGAACTGTGCAGTCTCAGTGCCAATGCAGTGACTGCAGGGGTTCTGGTGTTGAGTTAATTTACTGGGTACAGAGATGCTGAGGGTAAGGATCTGGACAGCATCACAAATGGGCAGTGTGGACCACAGGCGGGATTGTGCTGAGCTGAGTCTGAGGACATTTGGGAGTTCATGACCTAATGATCCTGGGCAGAGACTGTGCTGAGGTCACCGGAGTGGTTTGTGAAGAAGTGATAGAGTGTGTGTTGTGCTCCTTATATGTGTCTGTATATGTCTGCCTTGGTTTGGTAAGTACAGTGAGTTTGGTGTGTCTGACATCTGGTGGTGGTTTACTTGCACAAAGAAGTTGTTTTTCACTGTATCTCAGGCCTAGTCATTCCACCTTGACCTTGGTTAAGCCCAAAATAGTATATCAGGGCAAGGTATAGTTGCGCTGCTGCTTTACAGGTATCAATTAATATTTTCTTAAGCATTTTAGAAATTTTCAGCCATTATTTCTTCATATACTCTTTCTGTACCTTTCTGTCCTCTGTTTCTAGTACCCCATTTCCATGTATGTTGGTTTTCCCATATTTTTCTGAGGCTATGTTATTTTTTTCTTTTTTTTTTTCCCTTTGAATTCTGCCAACATAAATCTGTTCTTTGTCCCTTTGCTGAGTTCATTTTTCAGTTAGAGAATTTGGTTCTTGTTAATAATTTCTGTCTCTTTACTCATATCCTCTTTTTAAAAAGTGCTGGTGATTGTAGTCAACATTCTTCCACCGAGTATATCCCCAGCCTTTTTATTTTTGAAACAGGATCTCACTAAGTTGCTCAGGCTGGCCTTGGACTCATAATCCTCCTGCTTCTCTTCCAAGCCTCTGCTCTCACTTGTGTCTAGGATGAAAATGTTAATATCAGTTCTTTGAGTGTCCCTGTAATTTAAAAAAAAAGAACCCTCTGTATCAGGATTTTCTAATTTGTCGTTCCTTGGATTTAAAAATATCACATTTAATCTTCTAACAAATTTATGAGATAGATAATAGCTCCGTTTTTATAGGAAAAAAATCTGAAGGGCTGTACTCTTAATCGCTTCTCTTGATTGCCCACTTCAGTGGCTCCCTCAGTGGCCTCTTGCCACATACAGCTATCAAGTGCTTAAAGTGTGCTTTACCCACATTGAATGTGAAATGTGTTATGTGTGCAAAATATGGGAATATGGAACAGATGTTAAATATCCTATCACTTTTCTGTATTGATGTTAGATATATTGGGTTGAATAAAATATAGTTTAAATTTTACCTGTTATAAGTGTCACTTTCTTTTTACTTTTTAAAAAAGTGGCTATTAGAAAACTTAAAATTGTAACCATGACTTGCATTTTTTTTTGCTCAGCACTTCTCTATATTATCTCAACTTTTCTTAGTGTCTTTGCTTCTTTCTATAAGTAATTTGGGAAAATGTGAATGTTACAAAAAGTATTATCAAAGTCTTTTTAACTTTTAGCAACTTAGCATTTTTCTTTCATACAGTGAAAAATAAGTACTCAGAACTCCTTTTTAAGTTATGGTTTAAAAAACTTAAACGTTACTGATTTTTTTCATGTCTTATAGTGCTTAATAAATTTATTTTTGGGGGGTAGCTTGGTATTTTTAAAAATTGTAATTATTTAAAATGCCTAAAGTGTTTATGATAGTTGCATATGGAACTTTCACATCTTGGGATGTGAGGTCAGGAATCCATAAACAAGTTGCTTAGGTAGCTGACTGTTTTGTGGACTCTTCCTCACAGATGATGACTTTGACCAGTTTGATAAGCCTGGTGCAGAACGGTCATGGAGAAGAAGAGCTGCAGATGAAGACTGGGACAGGTATGTGCACACCTGTGCTTCATCTGGGAGACTGTGCTTTGATGAGTCTGTCACTTGGCCTTGTAGCGATCTTACTGGGAACTGTGCTGACTTCCTGATGCCCTGCCCCGAGTAGACCTCCCTCTTGGGCTCAGGTGAGGATTCTCTAGGTGGAAGGAACAGTGAGCCCTGTTCCATGCCTGCACTGCATGCAGGGCTATACAGAAAAGAGGCTTTCCTTGTCTCTCTGTCTTTGTACAGTGATGCCATTGAGTGTATTGACTGTAGACACTCAGAACCTTTGCTAGAGCAGCCAGGTAGCAGAGTTCCTTTTGCTCCGCGCCCTACTCGGTATGTTGCTAGACTAAAATGATTACCATTGTAATATGTTTTTCTGTATTTTGTTTTTGAGACAGTTTTACTATGTAGCTCAGGCTGGCCTTGAACTCACTATGTAGCCCAGGCTGTCTCGAACTTTCAGTGATCCTCCTGCCTCAGCTTCCTGAGTGCTGGGATTACAGGTGTGGACTACCCCACCTGGCCAACCATTGTAATACATGTTGATTTTAATTTGCACTTAACAGATTACTGGTACAGATGAGAATTCCTCTTTAGGAATTTACATTCAAACATAGTATAAAACTGGCAGTAATGACAGACAGATGTCAGGTCAGTGTGGTAGTCACTTCTGGGGAGGAGTCCGGTAGGGGTGAGAGGGGTGTATACTAGAGGGAGTATACAGTGGGCTTTATTGAGGTGGTGGGGTTGAGAACAGCCCTGATTCTCTGCAACTTTCTAACCATCTTAAATGCTTGGGTGAGAAAACGTAAGAGTTACTTTGGGCTTGGATGCAACAAGAAAGTTAGATAAGAAAAGTAAATACATCTGAGTAAAGAACAAAAGTACTGGAGTGAAGAGAATTCCTATTTCTTGTTTGAAAACAATGACCCAGAAATTTTAGAGAGTAAAACTGGGAAAACACTGTAGCTCTTAGAGTTTGCATGGTTGATTGCTCTCCAATAACTCGTCTGATGTGTTAGTCAGGGTTCTCCAAAGAAACAACAGTAGGGCATAGCTGCACAGAGAGATTGATAATAAAAGATTGGATCATGCAGTTTTGGAGGCTGAGATGTCCCACAGTCTGCCGTCAGCAAGATGGGAGACCTCGGGAAAACTGCCAGTGCTGTTCAGTCCAGCCCAAGGCCTGAGAACCAGGAGCCCTGAGAACTGAGGCAGGAGAATGTAGATGTCGTAGTGCAAGAAGGTGAATTTGCCCACATTCTGCCTTGTTTGGGGTAATGCTAACCCATACTGGCAGGGTAAGGTTAGATGTTCTTTGCTTACACTACTGATTCAAACACCCTCAGATTTTCACAGAAATGGTTTTCCATCTATGTGGGTATTCCTTAGTCTATCCAAGTTGACACAAAATCTACCATATGCAGTCTGCAATCAATTAATTAGAACTTAGAACTAAACCTTACAAAAGAATGTCTTGTCAGGTGATATCAAAGCAAGTTTTCCCTAAAAGACTAGAATGGTGAACTAAGCTATAGAGTCTTTAGCAGATTATTCCTCACTTGAATTTCCTCTTTATCTTGTCTGTCTTTATCTCTGTGTGTTTTTCTTCTGGGGTTGTCTTCTCTTTATTAACTTAGAGATTCTTCATACTTTTTGGAAATTTATTTTTTGTTGCGTTGAGATACTTCCTCCTAGTCTGTGACATGTGTTCCTTTAAAAAATAGTCTTTAAAAATAATATCAGATTTATAATTTTTTTCTGTGTGCTTCTTATTTTTTATTAAAACATGAAGAAAATTACTTGGAAATCTTTTTCAGGTTTATAGGAAGCTTCCAAGAGTAAAACAAAAACTCCCAAGTGATCTTTTCTCAGACTCACCAGCTGCTTTTTGTTACATTCATGTGTACTTTTCTTTCCTTTTTTTTTTTTGTACGTATGATCGAACTCAGGACCTTGTGCTTGCAAGATAGGTGCGGTGCCACTGAGCTAAATCCTCAGCCCTTTTTTTAATATATGCATATAAAAATTTCCTGCACTACTTGATAGATGGTAGCCTCATGTCACATTTTTTTTAATGCTTCAGTGTGTATTTTTTAAATGTGTAGTATTTCTCAAGAATGAAGACTTCTTGACTTTGTTATTTTTCATACCGAGGGAGATTAACAAAACATGTGATTCTGTTTTTAGTCTACAGTGATTGTCCAAGTTTTGTTAGTTGTCCCAGAAATGTCCTTTATAGCACAAAAGGAATTTATTTTGTTCTGGTCAAGATTGAACTCAGGATTATACATTGCATTTTTTCTGCTTTGTTTCATATCGTGAAAAAATTCTTTAGCTTTTGTCTGTCATGACTGGCATTGTTGAATACCACAAGGCATTTATTTTGCAGAGTAACCCCATTTTGGGCTTACTGATGTTCCACATGGCTAGGGTCAGGCTGTGCATTCTGGATTCCGGTCAGGAACACCAAGTAGGTGAGGCTCTGCCCTCCTCAGTGCCTCACTTCATGGGCACCCAGTAGTTGGAAGGTGGTTTCTGCTTTTTGTCCTGGAGAAATTTTTCTCCACCCTGTATTCTGGGTGTGTCCTGTATGTTTCTATGAAAGTTAATTTTCCCTTTATGGTTAGCTATGTAATCTGCCTGAAATTAAGTAAATTGATTGATTGAGGGGTACTAGGGACTGAACCCAGGGCTTTCACACTGAGCTGCTACCCCAGCCCTTTTTTATTTTTTATTTTGAGATGGGGTCTTGTTAAGACATCAAGTTCCCCAGAATGCGCTTAAACTTGTGATCCTTCTGCCTCAGCCTCCCGAGTACTGGAATTATAGGGATAGACCACAACTGGCTTAAATTGATTGATTTTTTAAAAAGCATATGTGTATAGGGCAGGGATTTAGCTCAGTGGTGCTGCCGCCTGCCTCTCAAGTGCAAGGTCCCGAGTTCAATCCCTGGTACCAAAAAAAATGCCTATGTGGGCTACCTGTCGTTCCCTGCGAGGACTGGAGTGGACAAACTACATTCATGGGTGGCAGGATCATTGGGTAGTTTTGAAAAATAATACTCTGAGTTACTGATCTGAAGATGAGACAGAGTATGGCTGCAGGGGATCCATTTTTCTTAGCAAGGCTGTGATCATGCCTCATGATTTTGATGAATGTCGATTTGATATTAGTATAAATGATAGTGTTTGGTATCTTCGTGCTCAGGATCCAGATCATAGATAACAATGGATAGATGCCATTGAACAGCATAAGACTGAATCAGGATAGGGATCTGAATCCAGCTTGCGTCGACATGGCTCAATGGTGTCACTAGTGTCTGGAGCAAGTGGCTATTCTGCAGCATCCACCTCTTCATTAAAGAAAGGCCACAGTTTACGTGAGAAATTGGCTGAAATGGAAACCTTTAGAGACATCCTGTGTAGATAAGTTGATACTCTCCAGAAGTACTTTGATGGCTGTGTTGATGCTGTCTCCAAGAATGAACTTCAAAGGGATAAAGTGGTAGAAGATGATGAAGATGACTTTGCTACAACACGTTCTGATGGCGACTTCTTGCACAATACCAATGGCAATAAAAAAAAGTTATTTCCACATGTAACACCAAAAGCAATCAATGGTATAGACTTTAAAGGGGAAACAATAACCTTCAAGGCAACTACTGCTGGAATCCTTGCTACAGTTTCTCATTATATTGAATTAATGGTAAAACATGAGGACAGCTGGCAAAAGAGACTAGATAAGGAAGTTGAGAAGAGGAGAAGAACAGAAGAACCATACAAAAATGCAATGACAGAACTTAAGAAAAAAATGCCACTTTGGAGGACCAGATTATGAAGAAGGCCCATATAGTCTGATTAATGAAGAAGAGTTCTTTGATGCTGTTGAAGCTGCTTTTGACAGACAAGATAAAATAGAAGAACAGTCACAGAGTGAAAAGGTCAGATTACATTGGCCTACATCGTTGTCCTCTGAAGATGTCTTTTCTTCTGTGGGGACTCATAGATTTGTCCAAAAGGTTGACGGTACAGAACCATATGACTTACTCATTGCAAGATGTAGGTGGAGATGCCAATTGACAGTACAAAAAAAAAAAGCATATGTGAATATAGCATAGTACAATAAACCCAATACTGTCATCCAAATTCAGCAGTTATTAGTTTATGTACACTCTTGTATCTATACCCTGCGACCCTCTCGAATCTTAGACATAATTTCATCTAAAAGTATTTCAGAATATCACACTCTAATGGACTTTCAAATACAATCATAATAGTTGCTTAAAAATTAATCCATTAATGTTACTGTTATGGCATGTTTGTAGATGTTCCCCAAAGCCTCATGGGGTCATAGGTGGGGATTTTCAGAGGTGGCTGAATCTAGAGTGGGTAATGTTGGGATCAAGGGTATGTGTTTACTAAATTAGTCCACTGATTGATTTGGTATAGTTTGGGATAGGATTAAGGGTGCCCCACCCTGGGTGTGAGTGCGATCCACCCTAAAGGTGGGTAGGTCAGAAGAGATATAAGGGATAGAAAGAGAGTTGCTGGTTGCTTGCTGCCATGCTGCTTTCTGCCTTCTGCCTGCCATGAACTATTTCTCTTCTGTGATGCCCCTCTGTCATGTTACCCTGCCTTGGAGCCAGCCAATTATGAACTGAAACCTGTACAAACTATGAGCCCAATAAACATTTCCTCTTTTAACTTCCTGTATTGGATATTTTCTCAGCAGTAAGTATTAACTAAGACAGTTATTAAATGTCTTATTATTGTTCACATTTCCCCAATTGTCTCTCATATCTTTAGATGTGTGTGTATTCACACACATTAAATATATATTATAAGCCAGGCATGGTGGTGAACACCTGTAATGCCAGCACTTGGGAAGCTGAGGCAGGAGGATTGCCATGGGTTTGAGGCCAGCCTGGGCAAAATACTGAGTTCAACGTCAGTCTAGACTACATAGCAAGTCATTGTCTCAAAAAACCAAAAAAATCCATATATATAAACAAATGATACAGTGTGGATACAGATATACTTCTTTATAGTTTGAATTGGATCCAGATAAGGGCCATGTATTGTAATTGATAAGTTTTTGTTTTTTGTTATTTTGGTACCAGGAATCGAACTCAGGACCTTGCGCTTGCAAGGCAGGCATGCTGCCACTGAGCTAAATCCTTGGCCCAACTGCTAAGTCTTTTAAGTGTTCTTTCATCTACAGGTTCTCCCCTTTGTTGGTTATCTTTGCATTAGTACCATGAAATACTTACAGTTAACTCATAAAGAGAAAGGTGTTTTTTGCTCCTGGTTTTGGAGGTTCTACTCCATGAGCAAGTGACCCTGTTGCTTTGGGTCTCTGAGAGGGCAGCCTGGCAGGTGGGAGTGCAGAGGGCATGATGTGGTGAAAGCACTTGCTCATAAGTGGGAGACTGCACACAGTCATGCTCAAGGGCATGCTCCCAGTGACCTATGCAGCTTCCTCTAGACCCCAGCTTCCAAAGGCTCTACACCTCATTGCCACACTGAGGACTAAGCCTTTAGCACATGCACCCTTTGGGGACACTTGTCCAAGCCATAGCACTCCCCATCTTGGTTTAGTTTCTTGTATTTTTTTTGTGGAAGAAGCAAAGTAGTATGTCTTGTAGAATTTCTGCTTTTGCTGCTTACACCCTCTGAGATGTTTGTAGGGTGTTCCTTTACCCCTTGTATTGATGTATATTAATAGTTAGGTCTGGAGTTTGATATATTTGAGTATGGGAAGGGTAGAGGAATGAAGCCTCTTAGGTGTGTTGTATTCCTCCACTGTGAGTCATACTGTGTCTGGTGAACTTCACGCACTAATGTGCTTTTTTTCTGTTCCCTGTAATGTTTCTGCAAGCCATTTGGTTCTTCTAGGGTAGAAATTAGGAAAAACAAGAGAGGTGATTTCAATTCTTTCCTTTTATTTACTGATTTCCAAAGTCATTAGTCAGCAGTAAGTTTGTTTTTGAAACACTTTAAAAACATAGATGTGAATATTAGTTGTCTTGTTGATCTGTTGTAGCTATTAATGGGCAGACTGACCCAATGTTTGTTCGGTTGAACTTTATTCTTGTTGGCTTTTGAGCTCATTCCATGTGACCTTAGTTGTCTGCGACGTTTTTTTTGCTTTCTGCTGAATGGATCTTGCTGGCCAGGGATTTAGCTCAGTGGTTCTACCGCCTGCCTTGCAAGCACAAGGTCCTGAGTTCGATCCCTGGTACCATTAAAAAAAAAAATGCAGTGGATCTTGCTTTTTGGTTATGGTGTGAGACAGGGCTCTAGTTTTTATTGCTACCTTCAGTACAAATAACAGTCTTTGCAATGTTGTTTGTGAACCTTTTTTCACTGTCTTTGGTGCCATGTTTGCGTATGTCAGGATTCTGTATCATTTGCAATCCCTTGCTTGCTCTCTTCTAAACGTTAAACAGCCTTGTCTGTGTGCTGCATAGTAGAGGAAGGAATTTGGAGGTTTAGGAAGAATGAATCAGATTGTTATTGCATCAGTGAAATTTGGAAGAATATGTTACTGAACCAGCATCTCATTTTTTTTTTTTTTTTTGGTACTGGGGCTCAAACTTGGGACCTTGCGCTTGTGAGGCAGGTGCTGGAACCACTGAGCTAAATCCCCAGCTCCCAGCATCTCAAGTTTTAAAGTTTAAAAAAAATTTTTTTTAAAGATGTGTGTGTATTGTCTCTGTACAGGCAAGAAGAGAGAAACTTAAGGTTTTAACTGAAAATAATTGAATGAAGAGCCCATACTGGGCAGGGTAAAGAAATGGGTAAGATTAGGAGAGCATCAGGAGAGTAGTAGGTCCTCCCCACACCCCCAGAGGAAGGAATGTGGTCCTCCGGAGCCCAGTGAGAGCTGAGGTGTTGGGGGCTCAGACTCCCTTGGTCAGGTGCAGTGAGAAGGGAGAGGAAGAGTTTTCTCCTGCTGGCCAACATTCCCAAGCTGCCTCCCATTGGCTGGATGTGTCCAGAAGCCAGGGACAGCCAATATGAGAGAGCACTAGAGAACATGTCCAGGGCCAGAGCCAGCGGAGACAGGAGGAGGAGGACTGGTGTGGGGAAGACACGAGGCACTGGGCTCCTGTGCAGTGGTCATGGTGTCACATTTCTGATTTTGAAAGGCTGCAGCCAGGTTCCTGATAACCTGGATCAGGTTCCTGATGACCTGGATCAGTTTCCTGAGCAATGTCTTTCAGGGTACTTCTGTTTGAAAGTAAGAATAAACTTGCTCTTAAAGAACTGGTTGTCTCTGCTCTTTGATGAGAAGTATCTGTTCACAAGGTTGTTAACAGAAGTAGTGATCACTGGTGAAACCAGGAGGGAGCTCTTCAGTCCAACCCCGGCAACATTTTATCAGCCCAGGGCTTGCTTTGTCTTCTAGAGCAGTGACCCCTGTTACCAGGGGTTGTGACTGATCACCCCTCTGATGAAACTGCCAGGGCAGGCCAGGCACTAGCACTAGTACCTTGTTGTTCTTGGTAACAGTTGATGAGATTTGGGTAGTTTTCTATATTTAATAAGTTTCTTTCCCTCTATGCACATCTTTTGAGAGGATGTAGCTTGAGGATAACAGGAAGACCGTTATATCTGGTTCTGTGGATGCTGTACATGGTCATTGCATTTGGACCCTGGGGGTAGTACCAAGTTCATTTGCTGGTGCCCCAGCACCCAAGTGCGGTGATGCTGGGCAAATCATGTAACTTCTCAGAGTCTGGGCTTCCACATTTAAAATCTTGGTGATGTAACTGTGTATGTGTGTGAGTGTGGGGGTTATGATATTGATTAAAAAGCTCACCCCTATGCAACACTTAGTACAGTGCCTGGCTTGTTCAGTACACTGAATAGACGTTGACTTGACCTCTCACTTGTGCTTGTTTTAGTCCTTTGGGATTAATCCTGATGTCTCCAATCCTGCTTCTCTTTAGTCATGGCAACAAGTACTTACTTGCTCCCTCTTCTCTACACTCTCCTCATTTTCTAACTGATATAGGTATCATTTTACCTTCCTTCCAAAGATGCTTTTGTGAAAAGAAGTAGGTAGTATTAAAGATTGCTTTCTTAATTCCAAATACCTTTTCTTGTCAGCAAAAGTTACAGATATTTGGTAATGTTTTGTTTGTGTAATTACTACACTTGCTCTTACTACCATCATAATTAGTGTGTCTTGGGAAAATGGTATTACGGTCCATTTTCAGTTGCTTAATTTGATGGAATATAGACTATATCTTCAAAGAGGTGCTTGTATGTTTTGGGTCATCTAGAATCAAATTCTTAAGTAGAGCTGTTATAAATGTTGTTTACCAAACAGCATATTTTCCCCTCCCCTAGAGGACAGGTGTAAGTAACACTGAAGATAGAAAAACTGTGCCTATACTTACTGGTTTAAAAATGTTGGAAGGAACAGTGTATCTCTCAAAGCTGTCCTGCACCAGTCTGTGAAGAATTAGTTTTTTAAAGGGCTGTTAAGTTTTGTCCTTTAGCTGTCTGTTTCAGCTATGTGGCCTTAGGGAAGTTATTTAATGTCTTGTTATTATTTTCATCTATAAAATGAGGTTCTCTTATTGTTATGAAATTTTGTTTTTTCATAAACAAATGAGGGTATAAGACTTATTGCAGGGTTAATATAAAATAGCTAAGAGACTCCTCAATGCATTAAATAACTGATTTTTTTCGATTGTTTGTTTGTTTCTTTCCTGTTTTTTGTGGTACGGGGGATTGAAGGCAGGACCTTGTGCTTAGAAGGCAGGCGCGGTGCCATTGAGCTAAATCCCTGGTTCAAGGGTTGTTTCTAGTTCTAGAAGCTATTATATAGAAATGTACATTTCTGTAACTCCACATATACATTTCTAGAAATCCTAGTATTCTCTTTTTTTGAATAAATAGTTCTAGTGCTGATCTTTCAAAACCTATAGAATTTTTATAACTAGAGACTGTCTCTCTGTCTCTGTCTCTGTCTCTCTCTTCCATCCCCTCTTTCTTTTTCTGAGACAGGATCTTGTGTCATAGTTTAGGCTGGCCTTGAACTCATTATGTAGCCCAGACTGGTCTCAAACTTGAGGCAATCCTCCTGCCTCAGCCTCCCAAGTGCTGGGATTACAGGCATGTACCATTGTGCCCAGTTTAGAGCCTTTATTTTAAAAAGAGTAACATTTCTAGAAAGGATATTGGTGCCGTTAAATCTCCATGAACATTAGCATGTAGAATCATCAGTCCAACTGTATTTTTTCTTTCTGTATGCTGTTCTGTAAAGATACTTGCTTTTAAGAGGTTGGATTCTCCAGAGATGAAGACATAATCCAGTGGTAGCTATCTCCATCCATCAAAAAAACTGAAAATGACTCTGGCTTCTTGATTTGCTAAGGGTTCCTGCTTTAATTGTGGGGAAGGAAGCCTGCGTCCAGTCACCTTGGAATGGAAATATGCCAGAAAACGTTGCAAGTGACCACTGTGACTTGCACGGTATCCAAAGATAATTCCCTTAGTTACTGTGATTTAATTTTTAACCTCATTATAGTTGAAAAATTTTTAATGTTTTTCGTTTTTGACAGTTTGATGAGTGTCACATGATCTCTCTGGTTTTTATCTTGACAAATATGGAAGATCTTTTCCTATTTCATAAGTTTTTAAAGATAGAAATCTTAGCTATTCTAATACAGTTTCTTCTTTTATTTCTTTTAATGGATAAAAGATTCAGATCTGCTACTGAGGTGCACAACTTAAAAAGTTTAGTCAGCCACCTCCTGTATCTTGTCTTTGTTTACCTAAAAAAAATGTTCTCTCTGTATTTAAAAATACTGTTTCATTATTAAAAGGTAAAAGGAAAATATAGCAAATTTCACGTGAAAGTCTCCAAGCTCCAGACCCCTTGTTAAACTTGCACGTAACCAGTATTACAGGAACAATACTTTGACCTTTGTTTTTCTTCTCAGTGAACTTGAAGATGACTTACTTGGAGAAGATTTACTATCTGGCAAAAAGGTAAGAAATATAGGTATTTCTAAAACAAAACAGTAACTATTTAATGTTACTTAAAATACAGGAACACATTATGCATGAGATACATGAGTGGAAAGTGGGTATAGATCAACATTTTATAAACTGAATTTAGTTTTGTTTTGTTTTGGTTCCAGTTAAAACTAGAACTTCATCATGTTAAGCATTGAGTTACAGCCCAGCCCTGAATTATTTTTTAAATCACAGAGCTAACACTTTATTAATAAATTCTCTGATAATTATATCTCAAACAGCAAATTCTTTGAAGCAAATATTTTAGTTCCCACTGTGTCCAAAGCATTCTAGCACATACTGAATTTGGGACATGAGTAATACAAAGCTTTCCCTTCCCTTAAAGGATTGTAACATTTATAGGTTAATATTTTTCATACTGGATCTGGAAATTAGTTTTTGGGAGTATTCACAAATTAGCTTAAAGATAAACATGCTCAAATGTAACAAGCATTCAGGTAAATAAGATTAAAAGTTCTCATGTAGGTATTTCTAAACCTTTTTGATTAAGTAAAAACTTAGAAGCAATTATCTTTAGTATGTGTATATTTATATATAATACTCTGAGTCTATTTCAAGCATAAATACGTAACAAGTGGAAATTTGAAGCAAGAGATGAAAGTGAAATTTATTCATTAGCAACTTAACACTTGCTGTCCTCTTGTCATGTCAGTGTAGTTCCTGGGCCGAGGATTTAGCTCAGTGGTTTTGCTGCCTGCTGTGCAAGCACAAGGACCCGAGTTCGATCCCCAGTACCCCCCCCCATATATATATATAGTTCTTTATCCTTAGTTTTAAAAAATATTAAAATTATGATCTCTTTGAGCAGTTATCCTAAAGTTTGTTACACTTTTAGGTTAAGATTCATTAGTAATATTAGTGGTATAAGTCTGTATTTCAAATACTGTGGTAGATTCGCATCTTTGATCTAGATTAGCACATCTGATTGGATGGCCCCTTTAATCTCTTTGTAATATTGTTAAGATCTTATATTAGAAGTGCCAGTTGTGCAGTTTTCTTGTAACTGACTATGTTGCTTTTTAGCATTTTCTCTAATATGTGAATTTGACTTAGACTTCCTTTCAAGCCAATTTTTCTGTATTCTGCTTACTGATGATTAGCTTACCTGTGACTTGGCCATGGACTGTGCCACCTTCTTCCATTTCAACAAATGAAGGCTGAGGGTACAAGTGAATCATACCCAAAGGATAGCTGTTTAAAAAATTTACATGTTCACTGATTTTTGGTTCAGTGTTTGTTGTTGTTGTTGTTGTTGTTGTTTTTTAAAGTAGGAAGATATTTATTGATAGGAAAGCTCCTGAGGGGCAGCAGGGGTCCTGAGTGGGTAGTTCTGTTCACTGTTTTTTTTTTTTGATAAATACTTAGAAGTTAAACTAAAGAGCTAGACCTGTAGCTCAGTGTTAGAGACTTAGCTAGAATGTGCCAGGCCCTGGGTTCTGTCTCCACCACTTCCCAGAAAGAAAAAGTTTACACTGTAATGCCAGTGATAAAGTTGTCTCTTGGGACTAATATATACTCATACAATTGGTTATTTTTGACTATCAAAATAGCCAAAATATATATTCTTATATATCTGTATATATCGACTTATTTTTGTAAGGTGTAAATTAAGTAGAAAATTAAGTCAATTTTTCAATCTTCATTTTTTAGTATATTTGCTGCCGAAGCGAGCATATCAGTCTTAATTTTTTTTTTTTTTTTTTTGATACCGGGGATCGAACTCGTGCCCTTGTGCTTGTGAGGCAAGCGGAGGAACCATTGAGCTAAATCCCTGGCCCATCAGTCTTCATTTTTTAAAAAATAAATGTATTTTAGATACTGTTAAATGTAGTCATATCTGAAAGATACTATTCTTTTTTGCATATGGGAAGGAAAAATTGTTTGGAAGTCTCTGCCCAAGGATCTTGTACCCTTTTTTGTGTGTGTTAGAATTAAAATAAAACTGATCATTGGGCCGGGGATTTAGCTCAGTGGTTTCGCTGCCTGCTGCGCAAGCGCAAGGACCCGAGTTCAATCCCCGGTACCAAAAAAAAAACCAAAAACAAAACCGAAAAAACTGATCATTACACTTAAGCACTTCCATACTTCCTCGCGTGCAGCATCTGAAATTAGTCCAAAGAGGGTAGCCAATATATATATATATTTTTTTTTTTGGTATTGGGGATCGAATTTAGGACCTTGCACTTGCAAGGCAGGCGTGGCGCCACTGAGCTACATCCCTGGCCCAAGGGTAGCCAGTATTATATGGGATTCTTTTTTTTTTTTGGTACTGGGGATCAGACTTGGATCCTTGTGCTTGCACAGCAGGCAGCGAAACCACTGAGCTAAATCCCCAGCCCGGGATTCTTGATTATCCGCAGTGACATCAAACTGAAAACAATGTCTGGATGGCAAATGTTTTAATAACATAATGGTTTGAAACAGTCCATTCAACATAATTTTGTGCCTTTGTAATATCTTTTTATGAAAGTGACATGCATTAATTAGATTTTTTATTTTAATTAGAATCAGTCAGATTTGTCAGATGAAGAGCTAAATGATGACCTTTTACAGAGTGATAATGAAGATGAAGAAAATTTCAGGTACTCTTTAATTCATTAAAAATGTTCTTTAATAGAAACTGTAAGTTATAACAAAATAATTAATGGATTGTAATTGAATAATGTGCTATTATACCTTTAACATATGATTACATTCTAGACAGGTTATTGTGTATTCTGATGTAGAATCTGTATGCACTGGAATGGAAATAGATCTGTTGCTTAAAATCAGTATAGTCCTTGGATTTGATGACCTTTGAATTCATTCAGTGCAGGTCGTAAAACCTCAGTACTGTTTTACACTATTCTTTTAAAAATTACTTTTTTAGATGAAGGGCAGTGACCTTAGACACTTACTGTAGGTTGATGTTGGTACCTTTGTTTTTATTTAGACAATTTTTATTAATACATGTCTGTATACTAAATTACCATTTTGGAGAGAGATACTTAGTATAATACTCTGGAAGATGGAATTAATTTTTCCATTTTATGAGGAAATATTAGCAAAATATAAATATGCTTCTTGGTTATAAATGTAATTGATAAGTACATGTCATATGGTCGTGAGTCATAAATTTGTAACAGGTTATGCAAAAAAGTAAGTTATGGGTTTTATACAGTTTTAAATTATTTTGCCAGTTACATACATTCCCCTATCCTAGTCTTTGACACCATGATTTGATATTTTAAATAAGTTTGGCCTTGAAGTATATCTTTTTAGCCAGTGTTTTGAAGTCTGTGTGGTATATTCAAGTTTTTGTTAAGATTCAGTACTTAATGTGTGTGAACATAGACTTATTTGCACAATCTGTCATTTGAAATGTTATCTTGCATCTATTTGGTATTCAGCTGTTAGGATTTAATAGGTGGAATATGATTTTTTGAAGTTCTAAAATCCTGTTATTTTACTTGGAAATCACCAGTTATATTTTAGAGAAATTTGTGACTAGTATGCACTTTAATTATTTGAACAGGCAAATGTATTTTTATACATGTTTTTATTTTCTTATAAACAGTCAAAATTTGTGTTATATAGATTAGAAAAGAAACCAAATATTCTTAAAATTCCAATTAGGATTTTCTGCTTATAAAGCAATACTCTTGTGTTTAGCATATATTCCTAGCAACAGAGTCCATCCATTCATGCTGTGGATTAGAATGAAATACAAAATGCTTGGTTTCAGTCTTAGATTTCTGCCATTCAGACCTGCTGCCTTACCGGGTTGACAAATCTTTGGTCAGATAACTTTAAGCCGAGAAGTGAACTGGAGGCCTGTCCTCATCATGAGTCTGGGGCACCAGCTCACTTAGTATATTGTGCTGTTATCTGCATTACCTGCTTTTGGCACTGGTTCAGTGTTGCACTTTGAGCCTTGTATTTACTCCTTGTTGGAGTAAAAGTGCACATATCAATGACTGGAATAACTTCACCAGTCATACTTTGTTACAACACATATACAGTAGTACAGCATATAGTGATTTGGTGTTGAGCTTCATGTTCAGTGGGTGTGTCTCTGTATTTTTGTCTTCTCCAGTTCTCAGGATGTCACAATCAGTCTCAATACCACATCTGGTATGGTTACATCATTTGAACTTTCTGACAACACTAATGACCAATCTGGAGAGCAGGAATCCGAGTATGAACAAGGAGAGGATGAGCTAACTTACCACAAATCTGATGGTCCGGAATTATATACTCAGGAGTACCCAGAGGAAGGACAGTATGAAGGCCATGATACAGAGTTGACAGAAGACCAAATAGAGTATGGGGAAGAGCCGGAGGAGGAACAGCTATACAGTGATGAAGTGTTGGACATCGAAATCAATGAACCTTTAGATGAATTTACAGTGAGTCTTTTCTTCTTTGTATGGCCAAAGATAACATGGCTTCTTGTGCACTCGTTTCTAGACTGATTTGAAATCTATTTCCCTCCCTTGGGAAGAAGGAAAATTAGACCTTACTATCAGTATCTGCCAGTTTCTTTATCTGAGCTATGACAAAGTTTATGTTGACAGCTTGTTTGGCAAGAGGTAATGCTCCTTTGTCATTCTGGAAGGCTGCAAAGAATGGTGACCTTGAGGATTGCACCCTAAGGAAGAAAACAGCTTTGTGTGGTGGAGATACACTGTCAATTGTTAGAAGTACTTAATGCAGGGCTTTTATCCAGGCTTTAGACAAGATCTGATAAAGTCCTTCTAAGGTGAAAAGATTATTGACCTGCTAAAGACATCTTTAAGGTGCTAATATTCCACAGTGATTGATGTTCTGTTCATTCATCCTTTTTGTAACTGAGAACTGTCTAAACCTGAATAAAGAGATTAGAGGTTAGTTTAGGAAATGTCACACATAATTTGTTATCTGTAATTGGGAAGCAAAGATTTGCTGATTTTTTTGTTTCAGAAAGATGGTTTTGGTAGGTACTTTTTTTTTCCCCCTTTCTAAAAAGTTGAACCATAAGGACAGAACAAGTGCTCGTATAAGATTGTTCATCTGTGGTAATGATGCATCATCAAAAGAGATGTTTTTCGAAGTAAGCACTTAGTGGCTTTCCTGCAGGAACGCTTGATCTCAGCCGTTATGGAGAGCATTAGGGCTTTCAGAGCAACAGGGTCTGGTGAGGCAGAGTAGAAACAGAACTGTTTCATAGCCAAAGAGGCTTCTGATGCAGGAATAGCTGTGTATCTCTTTATGGCTTCATTCAGAGTGTGCGTCCATTCAGGCAAAACATTCAAGAATTGCTGCATTTTGATCATGTATGTATATATGTGCGTATATATGTGTGTATATGTATATATACACAAAACACATATATACATATATATATATACAAAACATATGTACATATATATACATGAAATCTTAAAAAGGATTATGTGGAACCTTAAGATATTTAATTCTAGTCATGATTGTGCTTAGGTGTCTCAGTAGTTAAATATTTGATTCTTTCTGAATACTTGATCCTCAGTTGATAGGGTAATGAAAAGATGTGGTAATTGGTTAAGTAGAGTCCTATAAAAGCCTTGTGGAACTTGTTATCTCCAGAGCCCAATAATGACATATTTGGTAATAAATTCTTCACTAGGTGGACAGGTGCCTTTTTGATGTGTTTGCATACTTTATTAAAGTGGTACATTATATGTAAAATGATTTTTAAAGATTAAATCAAGATCTTTGAAAACTATGCCTAGATATTTCCTAGAGTATCATTTCTCCTATGCATCGGTGAAATAACATAAGTTAATCATCTTTGAGTAAATTCAGGGTTGTGGCATATCTTTACTGATGCCCAAGCACTAGGCACACAAATATTTCTAAGCCATAAGAAACCTGAATCCTGGCTCTTTCCCTTGAAGTTTGGCTGTAGTGGCTGTAGTGGACAGACTCCAGTGTGGGGAATCATGGTAGAGAGTGTATATTGCCACATGGGAGCACCTCTCATGTCGTATTCTTGCAGTGTTGTGGAGAATTTCTAGTCAGTCTGGAGTTCCTTCAGCTGTATTCTGTCACACATGTGGTTACATAGTGGAATAAAACACATCATAATCATTGAGCACCTGGTGCTCTAAGATCTAGATATTGAAAGAAATAAAATGGAGTAATTAAAAAATACTCAGGAGTCTGCCACATTAAAAAGAATTCTTTTTTTAGAATTAGAAAAAAAATCCAAAGTAAAAATTTTCATAGAAATTCTGAAAGTGCCCTGATTGATTTTTCACAAAGTTGTTTGTAAACTTGACAGGTGAGGAAAACCAGTAGAGTGTTGCTCTGTGAATACTGTCAGTTCACCTTAGCATTCCTAGGCTTGCAGCCATGGGCACCCTTTCCTTTCTTTCATAGTTATCCCAGTGGGAGATCAGAAACGACCACTTTGGAGAGAGGAGACAGACAGAATTAAATGGAGTACTGCACTCCTGTTTGGCAGTGGCCCCTCACTGACTTCTTAGGCTGCCACTCACACACATTATTTATTCATTCATCATTGGACTAAAGAATACATGAGTAGATTATGTCCCAATGTACTCCAGCAGTATGCATTTTATTAAATGGCTTATTTGACTGGTTCCTTGCCCTAGTTAGGATTTATTAACCTGAACTTAAAAGTCAGAATTAAACTGAAATATGCCCACATGGGTGTGTTCTCTCTTTGGGAGGGTTTGCTTGTAGAATCTTGTGGAGGACTTACATGCATAACTCGCCCTGAAACATAAAAACCACGGAATTTGCAATGGGAAGGGGCATGGTCACCTGTGAGGAATAGCAGTCAAACCCTGGAAGAGCTGGCAGCACTGCTGTGGCCTGCTTTCCTGTCACATTCCAAAGTAACAAAATCCTTAAATCTGAGTTTGGCAGGTGCTACTCTTGACAGTAAACTGCGATTTTATTTTAAAATTTATCCTCTTAGTAGTAAGGTCTGTGTATTGCTTAGTCTATAAAATACTAGAAAATTCTGTTAGTGACATATTTTTAGGTGCAGTCACTGTATGTAGGCCTGTAAAATTAACATAGATTGAGAGTTCATAAAACACTGTTTTATAAAAACATGTTCAGATTGACTTTATGTGAAGGGTAGCAGATTGCTGTTTCCTGGTGAGAGCCCAGTGCTGTAGACTGTCCCCCAGTGCATATTTGCTGAAGTTTTGATTAGCATCTCTGGCTGCCTTTGAAATCTTACTGTTCTGCTGCTGCTAGTGAATCAAGGGTTGTGGAATTGGTTTTTTTTCATGGGATGATAACAGTTCTTCACAGTGGCAGGCAGTATGTTCTCATCATCTAGAGGCGGAGCAGTTATGGAAGCAGAGGTGGTTTGCCCAGTTGCTTCCATTGGTGCACAGGTAGACTGTCATACAACATGTGGTAGACTGTTAGCTCTGTAGGTTGCGCACTCTTCTGGGTTTGTAACTGCTCATTTTTGCCACGTGGTTGTGAACACTGGGAAGCCTGCCTGCACTGAGTTTGATCACATCTTCTCGTTGTTCACTGGAGCAGCAGTGAGAAAGCAGGAGCATCCCTCCTTTCTTTGGCAGACTGAAAATCTCCAGCCACCTCTCCTGCTTACTTCCATGAGCACAGAAGGGATGCCTGCCTGCTGGTATGACCCTTAAGTTTCTCGAGAACCTGTCACTTAACGGAGGGGCCTGATATACAACCTGTGATTTGTAAGAAGGACCTATATTGAATTGAATTGTCCACAGTTGTGTTGTTTCTGTTGCCTTAAAACTGGTGAGCACTGGGCGTGACTTCCCCCCCCCCCCCGTTGCCAAGCTCCTCTGAGAATGAACACGCTTTCTTCAGATTGCTTTTCCTGGGGTTGATTTGAAGGAGAGCTACTTTTTGCAGGATGTCGGGTCTGAAGCAGAGCCCAGGCACTGAGGCGCTAACCTTAGCATGTTGTGCTTAGTTCCCATTCATGTATAGAGGAGTTGCTTAGTGCTTTGCCCTCAGTCTAATAGTTTCCATAGTAAAACTTACTAAAACTATGAGCCATAAAGTTGAAAAGTGCTTGAAGAACAAACACCAAAAGCTGTATGAGAAAAACCTGTTTTCTCTTTAATGGTCGTTAGGATGAAGAATACTTGCAGGCTTATGGTGGGCAACAAGGGCTGCAAGAGCAGGAAGACTGTGTTGCTGAAGATGGATTAGATGAGATTACTGGTTCCTATGTTGCTCCTGAGACCGAAGAGGTATTTGTTCAACTTTTAAAAAGAGTAAAAAAAAGTTTACTGGTTTTCCCCCCAGCTTTAAAATTAGCATTTTTTTTTTTAGCATTAGTGAAAAGTTGAGACATCTCTTTGAATGATGAGTGTCATAAAAAACTTCAACTTCCTAGACTCTTATAGAGAAGTGAGTTCGGTTGTGCTGGTTTCCAGGTAGTGTGTACCTTTCCAGTGTTAGTGTCTTAAATGGTTTTGGGGGTTATCTAAAAAATGTGATGTGTATGTTAGTGCTTTTAATTAGTTAATATTTTTGATTTTTATTTCATACCCTGCTACATTGCTGAATTCAGTTACCAGCCCTAAATGTATCCCCCCCCCCCCAACACGGATCAAACTCAGGACCTTGCCCTTGTAAGGTACCACTGAGCTAAATCCCGGCCCAGTATTTGTTAATTTGGACTGTTACTCAGAAATATCTCAGGGTTCCTATATGTAGATGCTGTTTTAGGTATTGAGGAAACAAAGAAGGTGGGGCTTGATTTCTCACTTCAAGGGACTTGCAAAGCATTCTTGCAAATTCCTGTGGTGCAGAAGAAAAAGTGACAGCTCCCAGGAGAGTCTCAGACACTGAGGAGCTCCAGAGGGGCGTGTGGGGAGGGCCAGTCCCCAGCCTTTGTGGAAGAGGTGGTCCTTTGAAGATATCTCCCAGATGGACAGACCTGGGCGTGCCTAGAGTGTGTTGTTGCTCTGCTGTCCACCCAGAGCTGGCCCTGTGGCTGAGCTGTGTGGGCCACAAAACCATTCCCTAGTCTGGGGACTTACTGATTTTCTTAAACTTTTTTTTTTAGTGTTTCTTTTTTTCCTCAATAATTTTCCTTAATGCTGTTTCCCTGTTTTTTTCGAAAGATCATGAAAAGTGATGTTTACTGGCTTAGCCATTTATTTACTTCAGATGTTACAGCAAGGCTTTAGAAATTCAGCTTATAAAGCATTTTACTCACTTGTCCTTTTTCCCAGACCACGTGGTCTTCTCTGAGTCTAAACTTGCATGTTGGGTCCACAACAGGAACATTTCCTGAACATACCCTTTCTTCAATCTCACAAACTAAATTTTAATTTTTTTCATTTTTGTGAGTTCTGTCTCTGTCGTTGTTTGAAATACTTTAACTGTAAAGAAAAGAGGTGTGACTAGTACAGGGATTCTTCACCCAGATCTCCAGTTGTAGGAAAATGTATGTAGGCCAGGGAACCAAATCAAATCTAAAGGAGATGTTAAAAGCTTGCGATCAGAGTCCAGGTGAGTGTAGTTTCCCCATCAGATTCTGTAGCAGTCTCCCTATTACAGCACTCAGTCAAACCTGTAAAGGTACAGATTGATGCAAATATACCTGAGAATGAAATCTGAGAAGCTGTTAAAAGGAGAAGGCTGCCAAAGAGACCATCTCCAGTGGTAAATAGTTGAAGAGGAAACCTAGGAATTCAGTGTTCATTAATTTCATGTACTTTTTCTTAGAATATGGTATTTTGACGTTGGAGAATATAATTTCATTGAGAATTTTGTTCTGTTGTTGGTAAATATCAAAGTTTATCAGTCAGGTGTAGTCTCACTCAGTTGGGGGAGCATGTTGGAAACATTCTCAGGAGACACTTTTCCGTGGATTCTTTAGGTTTCTGGATGTTTTATCTGCAAATCCCTGCTTGTCTTTTGTTGTGGAATCTCTATTCAAGGCATTTACGTAGCTGGTGGCTTTGAGCCACTTGTCTCGTCTTTCTGTGGGACCAGGACAGTTGTGCTCACGGCCCTTTGTGACAGATCTGGGTTTCCTGAGTCCACAGCCCAGAGTTCCTCCTGGAGCATAGCTCCCTCTGGGCAGGATCATGTGGCCCAGTGAGGATGGGGCCTCAGGTCGCTGGCACAGAATGCCGCTGCCAGTGTTGTTAGTAATAAACTGTCCTAGTCTGACCAGGGACCCAGTCTTCTCACAGCCTCCAGGAAACATGGCAGGCTGACTTCTTAGCTTGCAAGAAAAGGAAGATGAGACCCTTTACTCTCCTTGATGGAGTTACTCTCCTTTACTCTCCTTTGACTTATCAATTGCATTTTAATGAATTTATTCAAAGGAATTATTCTAAATGGTTTCAAAGGTATATGTACCAGGTGTTTAGTTACAGCACTGAAGATAAATGGAACCAGCATAACTTTTTCTAAAGGATTAAATACATTCTGATAACCTCACAGTAGAATACAGTGTACCTCTGATACCTTAGCTCCCTAACACAGAAAGATGCTAATGATAAATTAAGTCAAAAAAGCAAGATAATATAATTCTTAAGCTCCACCCAACAAATTAAATTTGTGTGTAAATCTAAAAAAAAAAGTCTGCATAAAGAGGATAGTAGCAACTATGATTGAATTACTTAGTTTATATATTCTAGTACTTTCTGACTTAAAAAAAAATGTTTGCTATTAAAAATAACTTATAGAGGGCCAGAGATGTAGCTCAGTGATGCAATACCTGCCTGGCAAGCACAAAGGCATGAGTTTGATTCCCGGTACTAAGTAAATAAATAAACCTTATAGAAGCAAAGGCATATTTTTTCTTTTGAAATATGAAGAAAAGTAGATATAAGGTGGCTAAAATTTTGATGCTTTAATTTTGGTTTTTTGTGTTTTGCGGTACCAAGGATCAAACTCAGGACCTTTTGCTTGCAAGGCAGGTGCAACGCCACTGAGCTAAACCCCCTGCCCTGATGCTTTAATTTTGAAGGCAAAGAATTAGAGGCCCCATAGGTTGGACTTTTGTGATTTCTTCTTGTTAACTCTCACCTGGAAATTTTGTTGTTGTTTTTCTTTTAAACTGTATGCCCTATAATTTAATTTTAAATTCAGTAATTAAAATATTTTTTTAAAGTTACTTTATCTTTTTCTTTGATTGATTTATCTTGTTTATGTTGCTTGTTTTACGGTTGACTAATTTTTCTGTAGCGCTTTTTGCTCATACAACGTGTGTGTGTGTGTGTGTGTGTGTGTGTGTGTGGTGCTGAGAAATGGAACCCGGGGTCTCAGGTATCTTAGGTAAGCATTGAAATCAGAGCTCCTTCTCCAGCCACTCATAGGACTTCATTAGTTCTTTTTTTTTTTGGTACCGGGGATCGAACTCGGGTCCTTGCGCTTGTGCAGCAGGCAACGAAACCACTGAGCTAAATTCCCGGCCATAATCTTGTTTTCTTAAATTCACTGAATATTAATCAGCTAAAAAGATTATTACTGAGGACTTTCAGTGCTGAGAAGTAGGTGTTGCTTTCTACAGTATTTCAACAGTATTTTTACAGTATTTGTAAGCTTTGGTTTGGGTGGGCCGTCAGTGTGGAGGAAGATGTCACATGTAACTGTAGTTTGGTGTTTCCCTAGTTATTTGACCAATTTTCTTTTCTTCTTCTTTTTTCTTTTTCTTTCTTTTTTTTTTGGTATTAGAGATCAGACTCATGACCTTGCTCTTGTGAGGCAGGTGCAATGCCACTGAGCTAAACCCTAGTCCCTGACCCATTTTCTTAAATGCCTGCTGTTGAGGAACATCTGGTTGTGCTCTGTCCCACGTGGCAGTGTGCCCTGTTCTGTCTGTCCTAGGACAGAGGGAGTAAACACATTAGAGTTTCCACATGACTGTGGTCTAGGAGCTGTAAAGGTCCATATAAGAAACTGAATCCCAGAATTTATTTCATTCCCCTTGGGCCTCATGCATGTTAGGCAAGCTCGCTAGCACTAAGATACATTCCCAAACCTTTTTATGTTGAGACAGGGTTGTGCCAAGTTGCCCAGGCTATCCTGGAACTTGTGATTCTCCTGCCTCAACTTCTTGTTTAGCTGGGATTACAGGCATATGGCATCAGGTGGCTCCTTTTATTTAATATTCTTGCTTAATATAAAGAAATCACTGTACTTGAGACAAATTAGATCAAATTATAAAGGTTATCCTTTCTAATTATGTAGCCACATTCATGTCAGTTATGCTGTTTTCTGACATAGTTTAAAGGGCTTGCTAAATTAGATAGTTTTGGCCAAAATAGAAGAAATGAAAAAGGTTTAAAAGTAATACTTGCACCATTTAAAATGCTTTTGTAGGAACGTTTACATTCAGGGATAGATTATGTGGGTCTCAGGAGTTAAAATAGGTTTTGAGGCATGCATGCATACGTCCATGCATACTCTCTTTCAGCTGAAGAGGAAGAGTCCCAGTTCCTTCGTTTTCCTCATTCTTGACCTTTCAGAGGCAAGCACTGTTCTTAACTTCTCCAGCCCTGCATCGGTCTTTCCTATTCTAAGCTACATCTAATCATAGCATGCCCTCTTGTGTCTAGCTGCTTTTGCTCAGCATACTTTGGAGATTCATTCATGTAGTTATATATGTATATTGATAGTTTATTCCATTTTATCTGTTCCATTTTCCTAGTGACAAATATTTAGGTTGAGACTATGAAGGTTATGTTACTCATCTTTCTGTGGATGTAGTTTTGTTTCTCTGGTAACTAATGATGGAATTGCCAACACGGGAAGCAATATGTTTAATTTTATAAGAAATTGCCAGATGGTTTTTCAGTGCCAGCACTATTTTATACTCTCCCTGGTAATGTAGGAGAGTCCCTCTTATTCGCCATCATTTGATCATGTCAGTTTCTTTATTTAATTCTTCAAATGGGTGCATTATTCGTGCTTTAGGTTGTGTTTCTCTGATGACTAACAGTGTTGAGCAGGTATGCAGTATGTGTATGCAGTGTGATTAAAAAAATACAGTGAATGTTTAAATAAAAATTTATTACAGTAAAAGACCCCTCACTTCAAATACACTTATCATTCTTGCCACTTTCTGAAGCAGTTCTGGAAGTCTTCTTTTCCAAGTGTCTTTAGTTGCACTATCTTGGCTGCCTCGATGTCCTGAATTGATTCAAAATGTTTACCCTCTGGTCACTTTAACTTTGGAGAAGAGGCAGAAGACACATGGTGCTGTGGTAGATCCAGTGAATAAGGT